AAATACTGCTTATAAGGATGTTCAATGAACTTAGTGAGAACCTCAGTGAACTTAGGGAGGGCCTCAAGAGCATAAAAAAGGACCAGTTAGAAATCATGGATACACAGTTAGAATTAAAGGAGGCATTAACTGAAATAAAGAATAATTTACTCAGCTTCAATAATAGAGTATGTAAATCCAAGGAGCAAACCATCGATTTGGAATATAAGGAAGCAAAAAATCCCCAATCAGAACAGCAAAAAGAATCCAAAAAAATGAGGATAGTGTAAGGAGCCTCTGGGACAACTTCAAACGTGCCAACATTCGCATCTTGGGGGTGCCCGAAGGAGAAGAGAGAGAACAAGAAATCAAAAACCTGTTTGAAACAATAATAGTAGAAAACTTTCCTAACTTGGTGAAGGAAACAGTCCAGGAAGCACAGAGAGTCCCAAACAAGATGAACCCCAAGAGGCACACACCAAGACACATCATCAAAATGCAAAAGGTTCAAGACAAAGAGAGAATATTAAAAGCAGCAAGAGAAAGGCAGCTAGTTACCTACAAGGGAGTACCCATTAGGCTGTCTGCTGATTTCTCAAAAGAAACTTTGCAGGCCAGAAGGGAGTGGCAAGAAATATTCAGAGTGATGAAAACCAAGAACCTACAACCAAAATTACTCTATCCTGCAAAGCTGTCATTTAGAATTGATGGACATATAAAAACTTTCCCAGACAAGAAAAAGTTAAAGGAGTTCATCACTACCAAACCGTTATTATATGAAATGATGAAGGGTCTTTTTGAAGAAAAAATAAAATGTATGAACAAACAAAATGGCAATGAATACATATCTATCAACAATGGAATCTACAAACAAAATGAACAGGAAGAACAGAAACATTCTCATAGATACAGAGAACATTTTGTTGGTTGCCGGATGGGAGGGGGTTGGGGGAATGGGTGAAAAAGGTGAAGGGATTAAGAAGTACAAATTCATTGCTAGACTGACAAACCTCAAAGGGAAAGGGGTTGGGGGGTGGGGGGGTGGGAAGAAATAAACCAAAGAACTTATATGCATAACCAATGAACACAGACCATAGTGTGGGAAAAGGTGGGAGGGGGGCGGGAGTGGGGAGGAGGGGGTCAATGGGGGAAAAATGTGGAACATCTGTAATACATTTTACATCCAACAATAAAGATTTGAAAAAAAAAATTAATTAATTAATTTAAAAAATGTCAGATTATTCACACAATACCAGGAACATCATAAATACTGAACAAGTGTTATTATTTAATAAGTGTTATATTATGTTACACAATTTATTATTTAATCCTGTTGCCTTCATTAAGGCAAAATGTTAATTATATTTTATCTATTTTACAAATTTTATAGTTAGACGTTTTTTCTTTTGGTGTACAGTTCTGTGGATTTTAACACATGTATAAATTCTCAAAATCACCATCACAATCAGAATACAGAGCATTTCCACACTCTAAAACTCTCTCATGCTATCTCTTACAGTCACACTTTTCTCTGGAAACCTGATCTGTTCTCCATCACTATGGTTATAGCTTTTTGGGGTGTCATATAAATGCAGTTATACATTATGTAACGTTTTGAGCCTAGATTCTTCTTCTTCTTCTTTTTTTTCAATTGATCTGGGAGAGGCAGAGAGAAACATAGATATGAGAGTGACACTGATCAGTTACCTCTCACGTGTGCCCCAACCAGGGATCAAACCCCAAACCTAGATATGTGCCCGGACCAGAACCTGTGACCTTTCAGTGTACTGGACAATGCTCCAACCAATTGAGCCACATCGGCCAGGGCAAGCTTAACTTCTTTCAATAACATAATGCCTTTGAGATTTATCCATGTGGTGTGTGTTCATAATATTTAAGTTTTATTCATGTTTTCCTTATATATAAAAATACTGTAAATTATATGGTTATTTATTTCCTATATAATAATCTACCTGATTAGTATCCCAAGATACATTTGCATTAGGTGATGAAGACATGTATTATGATACAGCATTTACAATTAATTACTAATTGTTTTCATGGAAAAATGGAATCTGTCACCTGAGAAATTCTGGGTTATATAAAAATAAATTGGATTCTTTGCTCTATGATTTCTCAGAATCTTTATTATATAGCATGAATTGTAAAATTTCAAAAGGCAGATATGGTTTGAAAGTGTCAAATGATTAAGAACATTTTTATTTTTATTTTTATTTTTATTCTTTGCAAAACACCTATTAAGTTGTATTCCACAGTGTGAGAAACATTATGCTAGAAATGAAAACATGGATTTTGGAATCTGGATTTGAATCTTGTCCTTCCATTCTCTAGCTGCTTGACTCTAAACAAGTTATTTAATCTGCCTTAATCCCAGACTCCTCATCTACAAAATGGGGCTAATAATATAGGGTGTCCCCCAAAAAATATATACACCAAAAAATATATAATTATAAAGTCAATGTTTATTAAAATACATTTTATTTTCAAAATGTAATAGAATCTACAGACACCTTTATACATTTTTAGAGGACACCCTGTACTTTCCTCATCAGGGTGAGGATTACATAAAATTTACTTCATATGTACACATAGCACAGTATATGCCAATATATTACCAATATGCATGGTACTCCTTTAGTAAGTTGTGGCTATTTATTACTACAGGCAGTATAGACCACTGTTTAGGAGAATAATAGGCTTTGAAATCTGATAGATCTCAGTTTTCTTTTGGGTTTTTCTACTTAGTTATTTAACCTCATTAATAAAATGAGAGTAATACTTATGAGGATTTACTGTAATAATTAAATATCTAATGCAATTATCTATGAGTCATTCCCTAACGATTTTCTTGAATAAATAACTTTTTATTCAATCATTCAGGAGTTTACAAAGAAGTACATATATAATTAAGTTTACAGTATGTTTTCTGATGTAGAGACATAATGAAAGCAAAGAAGATTTGCTCTTTTGATATTAGAAAAGAGAGAGGAGGTAGGTTGAGGTTGAGGGTCTGGGAGGATAAATGGTGATGGAAAAAAATAACTAATTAATTAATTAAAATTTTAAAAAAGAAAGGACATATTTTCCAATGTGCTTACAAACAGAGGGAGAATAAATAATCTATGTTTAGATTAGTGCTAGGAGATGAGAGTAAATTCACTTACTTTTACATGGAAAAAAGTAGATATCTTATGGCCTTTATTAATATTTGGAGCAGATATGTATGAAAAGATACTATGTTTTCTAAGTCATGACCCCTGTTGTGCAATAAAGCAGCCGACAAACACAGGTACAAAAACCCATATTCTTTTAATTAGAAATGATTTTTAAATCTGGAGAAATCTTCTCAATAATATAAGTATATAATTTCTAGAAAGAACAAAAATTTTTTTTAATACCACCATTAGTATGTTAGTAATTTACTATGTCATATTACTGGGGAAAGACTAACTCAAGTCAACTGAGTCACTCAAATCTCTTTGAGTCACTGATGTAGGTCTCAAGGAGAATAAATCAGAGCATTTTTGCTTGGGTAGCTTACAACTAAAATATTTTTGGCAAACTATTAAGACAGAATTATAAATAAAAATTAATACAGGTATTTTATATGTAGGTTTTGATGGCAAGTTTTTTTTTTCTTTTGTTATATAGCCAACATAAAATTAGCAAATGTTCCATTGGTAATGTTTGGTACTATGCACAGTACAAAATGAAAGAGAAAAGGAAGTCTTACGGAGTGATTTCTAGAAATAAGTAGATCCTTCAGTTTAGCAGATGGATAGAAGTGAATTATTTAGAGAAGCATATATTCTCAAAGAATTTGGTACAATAAAAGTGTCTAGTTTTCTTTAAAAATTTTTGGAGAAGAGTATTTTCTGTTTGGTATTTACTTATTGAAAATAGTTTAGCCTTGGCCAGTTTGGCTCAGTGGTTAAAGCATCGGCCTGCGGTCCGGAGAGACCCAGGTTCGGTTCCCGCTAAGGGCACGTACTTCGGTTGCAGTTTGTCCCCGGCCCTGGTTGATCGTGCGGGTGGCAGCCACTCGATGTGTCCCTTCACGTCGATGTTTCTCTCTCTCTGTCCCTTCCTCTCTCTCCCTCCCACTCTAGCTGTACAAAAAATGGAAAAATATCCTCGGGTGAGGATAAAAAGAAAATAGTTTATATCATCACTTATTTTCTTTCATATACATATACTAGAGATAGATATTAATTTGAGAAAAGTGAAAATTTATGGACCTATTTAACAACTTTCTAATAGCTATGATAATTTAGAGTCATCTCATTTCCACTCTATTGTCTGATTGTATCTTGCAACTAACAGAGAATTTAAAATTATTTGAAGTTAATTTTACAAGCTAAATAGAACTAACTGGCTAGCACTAAGAAAAATTGAGAATAAGATCACATTTATTTTTGGTGAACTATTTTCCCCTTACATGTTAGTTTTCAACATCTGTTTATCATAACCTTTTTCCTACAGAAATTCCATTACATAGTTTTCATGTTACCTCCTACCATTCTGGGTTTGCCACTGTCACATTTTATTTCATATTGAAATTTGCCTTTTAGGGATTTTGGACCTCACATGCTAACTAGTTAATATGAAAAACAAAAACAAAAACAAAAAACATAGCCTATATTCTAATGTTAGTGATTTAAAGTTTGGGATCCAACTAATAGTATATGTGAAGATGTCTTTTTGAGTCAGTGAGCATCTCCACCGCCCTCCTATCCCACTGCCTTTCCCTTTCCCACTCCTTAACCCCTTAAGATTGATTCAGTAATAATTTTAATGGTGAGAATGTACATCCAGTAAAAGGGAAATGGTAGAATAGTAAATTGTAGGGTGAGATATTTTGGGCCAAGAAAGACTTTTGTTCTTCTGTGTAATTATATTATATAAACTCTCCACCAAGTCAGTTCTTTATTGGCTCAGTCCTGTGATATTGTATCATATTAAAGAACTTCTCAGTCTTACTAACTTTTTTTCCTATGTAGTGAACCATTTATAATCTTTTCTGGTGGACTGTCCTATGACAAAGCTTGCAGAAGACCAAGTTTAACCATCATGCATGGAAAAGCCATTACAGTACTTGAAATGGATCATCCTATTGTTGAATTTCTAACTTTATGTGAAACACCCTATCCAAATGGTAAGTAACTAAAGTGAAATTATTAAAATTGAAAAATCATTTTTGAAATAAGTTTCTTACAAAATTAAGCTTAAATATTTTTAGTTTTGGCAGCTGATGTCCACTGTGGTACAACACTGTGAGCTACAGGTGCTGGAGCAGGTTCTGCAACTGTACCTACTTGACGAACTGGAAGTAAAACAGATGTAGTGCAGTAGTGCTGGAGTTTCAGGTTCAATATCAGGTAAGTGCTTTAAACTTTGATAAGGATGGTGGAAGCTGAGCTGGGAGGGTTCTATAGGGGTCCAGGGTGAAATCACTTGGGGGAAACTGAGGTCTCCTAATAGCCTCTCCTAGACCAGCTCCACCCATCCCATTCCAAAGCCAATCAAAGTTAAAGCACTTACCTAATATCAGTGATCTGTAACTCTGGTGGTGCTGCATCTGTTTCACATCTGGCTTTGCTTCAGATGCAACTGCAGCACCTCTGATTACTCTGGGATTGCTGATGTGTGGTTAGTGATTTATTTCAATTTGAGAATAATTGTCTGAAGGGTCTTTTGGAGGAGAGGTGCTTATATATTTTTATCATCCCTAATTTAAAGATTTTTTTGTAAACATAAAAATGTAAGCTACGTGCAAATTGTATAATGGAAGCTAATGATAATATGTTAGTAACAAAATCTAAACATTTAAAAGGGTGAAACATAAAAAGGGAACTGAGTTTATAATTAAAACAACATAGTGTGTATATATATATACATTACCACATTTATAAGAGGGAACATATAGATATAGGGGAAAGAGCACTGGACTTGGAGACAGACTTAGAGAATATTTGGGTTTATAATTTAACTTTGCCATTTCCTAGCTATGTGACCTAGGGTAAGTCACTTTACATTTATGAGTTTCATTTATTATTTGTAGAAAGAGAATAATAATATTGATTCCAAATGATTATTGGAAGGCTAAAGTGAACGTACTTTATAAACTATGAAGATAAATTGTGAGTTTTATTATAATTATTAGTTTTAATTCTTTAGTTTTGTTTTTTAAAAATGGGTTAAGTAGCCCTGGCCGGTTTGGCTCAGCGGTTAGAGCGTCGGCCTGCGGTACAGAGAGACTGGGGTTCGGTTCCCGTTAAGGGCACAAAACTCAGTTGCAGTTTGTCCCCGCTGTTTGGGTTGTGTGGGTGGCAACCACTTGATATGTCTCTCTCACGTCGATGTTTCTCTCTCTCTCTCTCTCTCCCCTTCCCACTGTACCTGAACAAAAAATGGAAAAATGTCCTCAGGTGAGGATAAAAAAAAAATGGGTTAAGTAGATAGGAGATAACAATCAATGTGACACTTTATTTTTAGATTGCTGGGGACAAAGTGCCTGTGTTGTTAATAAATATTTCTTGGATGCTTCTATAGCCTCAGTACTATAAGAACTTGTTGAGAATACTGGTGAAGTATGAAACTGATATCTGATATAAAACTATATAAAATCTGGTCAGATGGGGGAGATAATTATGACTTAAGTTTAAAAAATAATACATCTTAAGTGCTGAGTTGTATGGGTCAGAGTTTTTAAAATGTACTAATTTAAGGCTAGTCAGATAGTCAGTGACTGAAATTTTCATGCAAAGCTTTGTGGAAAAAGTAGACTTTAGATAGGCCTTGAAGAATGACTTGGACCTTGAAAAAGGATATTGAGTAAATGTTTTAGAAATTGTGAGGTTTGTTAGCATGGAGTCAAATTAGAGAGAAAAACTGAAAGCCTTTTGGAGATATTTGGAAATAGAGAGCTACAGAGGAATTCTGAGGAAATACTAAGATGAAAGGAAATAGTCTATTTTTGTATGATTTGCCCAAAAGGAATGTGTGGGTTTGACAGAGAGAGAGACACCAAAATCTAAAATAGCCCAGGTCCCAGCTGGGAGGCTTTTGTGCTTTAAAATTATTAGTATCTGAGTACTGCCTGTAGAAATGGAAAGAGGAAAATCCACTGAATTTGGTCACAATTGGATTACGAGTGATGTAGTAGGTGAGTCAAAGATAACATATTTTAAGAATATGGTTTCATGTACAGTAATAACAATTTTTTGAAAGAGAAAAAATAAGTCTGATTATGGAGTTGTTTAGAGAACAGCAAAAGAGAGGGAAAAGTATTTAATATTTATTTGTGAACATCAGAATATAGATGTTCTTTGGAGTTATGAAATGTATGATACACAAAGGAAGAAAGAAAGAACAAAGGTCCAAAAGCTGAGCTTATGAAAAGTCGTCCAGTTAAAGAGCCTAGAGAAAGAAGATGTGTGTGCCAGTAATAAAAACTCAAAATGTGTGGTTGCAAAGATCAAGCAATATGTGTGTGTTATATATAAATTTCTGTACATCAGTAGAAATTTTAGGGTAATTTCTAGTAATGTTAAATAAATTATAAATGTATTGTAACCAAGACTAATCAACTTCCAAGCTATATATATGTCTGTTTTTCAGAGAAGTGGTAATGAGGATGTAGCTTTTTATTTTTTAGGGGCTAGGAGAAATAGTTTAACTTTACTCAGTAAAATATAAATGTACTTTATTAACTATTTCTAAGTAAAATAATACATGAAAATGCCAGATAAGTACCCTGCAATACACAACAGTATGTAATGAAAACTTTCTCTCTGCCCTTACAGAGGCAGCCACTATTACTAAAATTTTTATGTGGTCTCCCCAAAATAATCTATGTTTTTCAACAGATGATTTTCCTTTAGAGGGGAGAGAAGAAAAGGAAACTAGTAGCATAAAACCCTAATGTTCTTCCAACTGAAAAACAAAACAGATAAAAAGAACCCAGAAGTATTGAAACAATGTTGAAAAACAGCTTTAGGAGATAAGAAGAAAGGGAGAAAGAACCTCAGTTTGAGAACAGTTTGAGTAGCAAGCAGTATGACTGGATACTGTCACACAGATATGCACCCAAACAATGGCATGCTCCTTCTAAGTTTTGGGGATTGTGGTTTTAGTTTTTCAGTCATAGCATGTGATTTATGAATAGACTCTATAGCTTCTCAGGACTGAAGGCCATCTGTTCCAGTTTTCCATCCAAAACTTGAATACTGTGAACAAAATTACTGCCAAGTGATTGTTGAATTTAGAATTAAATACCTCTTAAACTGGCCAGTAGAAACTGTGGTATAATGAAGGCAGGATCAAATTTAGTCATAAATTCTGCGTTAACATTTCAGCTCTACCACTCACTAGCTTTGTAAACTTGTGTCAAACTTGTAAATTTTGGGCCTCAATGTTTCCTATGAAGTAGAAAAATATTAGTACCTGCTCTAGCTACTGAGACTCAAATATCATGTATGTAAAATGTTTTTGTAAATACTTTTTTGTTAAATTGAGAATAACATGCTAACTGTGGCTTTCCCTTCTTAGTCTTTTATTATAGATGAAAAGCAATGTCATCCCTGACCACTACAACTAAATTAGTACTCCCACACAAGTCATTTCTTATACATTATCCATGTTATTTTTGTCATACCTCACATTACTTTCTGAACTAATCTTATTTGTTCACGATTCGTATATATCCCTAGAATGTAAACTCCATAAGAACATGGACCTTGTCAGTCTTATTCCCCATATGTCCTTTGTTCTTACAAATTTCTGGAATATACTGAAAAAAGGAAGGGATGAAGAGAGAAAGGGAGAGTTGAATGTTAAGAACTTGAGAATCCTGGACTATCCTTACATTCTTTAAATACATGTTAAATCACACTAAATTGAAAGTAAATTTTTTAGCCCAGCTGGGTGTGGCTCAGTGGTTGAGCATCGACCCATGCACCAAGAGGTTGCTGGTTCGATTCCTGGTCAGGACACCTGCCCAAGTCATGGGCCAGATCCCAATGGGGGGCATGCAGGAGGCAGCCAATCGATGTTCTTTCTCATTGATGTTTCTATCTCTCTCCCTCCCCCTTCCTCTTCCTCTAAAATCAATAAAGAAAGAAAAAATTTTAAAAAGAAAGTAAATTTTCTAGTATAAGTGTTGCTCTCATAGGGAAATGAATTTCACAGATCAGAGAATGGGAATGAAATTAAATCTAAAATGTAAGGTTATGGAAGAATAAGAAGTGTTTATGAGATGGAGATGACAGACTCACTCTCCTCAAATAATCTACTACTATCACCACTTCATTATTTTTGAGATATGTTTCACTCTGTGCTATGCAACTTCTCATTTTTTCCTGAATCCCTGTAATGGTCATAAATATTAAGTTTGAGAAATACAACATATATTTATTTTATTTTATTTATTATTCTTTTTTCTCTTTTAAATTTATTATTATTATTTTTAATCCTCACCCAAGGATATTTTTCCATTGATTTTCAGATAGAGTGGGAGGTGGGGAGAGAGAGAGAGAAAGAGAGAGAGAGAGAAACATCTGTGTGAGAGAGACACAACAATTGGTTGCCTCCCACACTACCCTGACCAGGGCTGGGGATTGACCACAACCGAGGTATGTAGGTATGTACCCTTGACTGGAATCAAACCCGAAACTCTTTGGTCCGTAGGCCAATCTTCTAAATGTTGAGCCAAACTGGCCAGGGCTAAAAAAACAAAAAAAGTGTTTTTTTTAAGTGCTCTTGCTAATTCTTACTTTGGCTCATATTTAGGTCTTCCCAAATCTTTTAAATAACATTTTTACAGCAGATAAAGGAAATGTAAGTTTGGTGATTTTATAAAATGTGAAATATAAAAACTTTTTTATGTTTTTATCTTGTAGAATTTCAAGAACCCTATGCGGTCGTAGTACTTCTGGAGAAAGATCTCATTGTAGTTGATCTGACACAAAGCAAGTAAGTTATCTGTGTTCAGAATAACACTATTTTTAAAATCTGTTCATTACAGTTAAAATACTGAAGGGCATTATAAATAATTGACATTAGTATTTTTAGACAGTAACTATTCTTTATGTGGACTATTGTTTTGCTAGAATTACAGAAATGTAATTTGGTTCAATAATGAAAACCAAACTGGAAAAATGAAGAGAACAGAAAAATCAAGAGATTTTTAAAGGCAGCACCTAATGTTTAGAGAATCAGAACAAGCAAAATGGATCACATTCCTGCTGTTTCCCTAAGCAAAAGCAGCTGTTATGAAAACTTTCACATTGTACTACGTGGCCATCTGCTAGTCTACTGACGATAAAAGTATTATTGGACTACTTCAATAGTCAATACAAAAGAGCAGGATGTTGGGGGCAGATAAGATGGAGGCCCTCTTTTTTTAAAAAAATTCTCATTATGTTGTGGGCAATGGAAACAAACAAAAAATTTACTGTAAGAGTGATGCTTTCCACTCCTTTATATGGATAATAAAACATAGACTTGAAATTGATGAACACTTTCTTCCCGGCTACACATATTTACTATAAATGATGATATAAATGAAACTGATTTCCCTCACTCTGTGCTCTAGACCCACTGATCTTTTAGCTTATTATATTTGCAGAATTTTTGTATATTTCTCACTCCTCTGCATGGAATAATCTTCTCTTCCTTTTTCTCTTTATTAATGTCTTATAAAAATCTCAAGTCAGATATCATTTCCTCATTAAAAAATCTTTTATTATCTATATAATTTGCTCAAATATCCTATTAAGGACTTTTATAGCTCCCATGTTTTTCTCCTTAATAGCTTTTGACAAAGATGAAATTTTACACTTGTTATTGTTTTGAAGGTTGTCTCCCTGTCAGACTGTAGGCCTCATGAAGATGGAGCTTTGTCTCCACATGGAGTATGTTCTCAATAAATTTTTGTTGAAAAAATTTAGTTGTAGTTCTAATTTCCATGTACTTTGTAAATGTAAAAGCCAGAGTTCTTCTTTATGCTGGTTTGCATCACCTAATATTTCAATATTTTGAAAGGGATGTAAGATTTGCCCCATAAGATCATCATAACTGAATTTTGCCTCTATTTATCGATATTAAACTTGATTAAATTTTGTGTACATGACGTGTCTTGGAATGGGCCTCTTTGGGTTCATCTTATTTGCGACTCTGCATTTCCTGGGCTTGTATGAGATTAAGGAATTTTTCATCATTATTTCTTCAAATAGGTTTTCAATTTCTTGCTCTCTCTCTTCTCCTTCTGGTACTTCTATGATGTGAATGTTGGTATACCCGATGTTGTCCCAGAGACCCCTAAAATTGTCTTCATTTTTGGGGATCTTTTTTTTCTTTTTCTGTTCAGATTGTGTTTTCTACTATTTTATCTTCCAAATTGCAGATTCAATCCTCTGTTTCATCAGGGAATCTATTGATTCCCTCTAATGTATTCTTCATTTTGGTTGTTGTATTCTTCATTTCTAACTGGTACTTTTTTATGCTTTTGTTCCCATTTTTATGTTTTCTATCTCTTTGTTGAAGTTCTCACTGAGATCCTTGAGCATCCTTCTAACCAGTGCTTTGAACTCTGCAGTTTAGTCTCCATTTGGTTTAGTGTTGTTTTGTTTTGTTTTTTTAGTTTTGTTCTGTCCTTTTAATTAGAATATATTTTTGTTGTTGTTGTTTTTGGTCTCCCCATTTTGGCTGCCTTTCTGAATTTGTTTCTATGTATTAGGTAGAGTTGCTATATCTTGATCAAATGGCCTTATGTAGTAGGTGTCCTGTGGGGTTTAGTGGCAGTCTCTCTGTTCACCTGAGCTGGTGTTCCAGGTGTATCCCCTGTGTGGGTTGTGTGTTATTTGTGGAGGTGGTTGGGTGGTATTCTGGTGTGGTTTCAAGCTGGAAGCTGGGTGTGTTGGTACTGGGGCTTATTGGGATTTGCAGGCCAAGGTCAGCTACTGCCTATGCCCTGCCCAGGTCCACCCAGTTTTAGCTACAAAATGATCTGCAGATGGTTGCTACCTGTACCAGGCTTCCCTGGGAAAGGCTGAGCTGTGAACTAAGGCCAGTTGTTGATAGTGCCAAGCTTGAGGCTGCTTACCGAGGGGTACAGGGCACCCTGAGGCCACATGATAACTTGTTTAGGGTTGTGAAACTTTGAGAGATTTTAGGAAAGTTCACAGCATGAGCCAAGACAGGCCATTTGTATGGAAAAGCCACTGGAAGTGGTTTGGATAGGCCCAGAAATTGGAAGGACATCAACAGGGTGAGGGCAAACAGTGTTAGCCAGATTGAGGGAGACTCATATAGTACCCACCTGCACCCACAGTGGGAAGGCTTAGCAAAGAAATACTAGCTCTGCCAACACTTTTGTCTGAGAGAAAGCTGCCCCCCCCCCCATCTCTCTCTGAAGCCAGACAATTAATTTCCTCTCTGTATGTCTCTGGCATCTTTTGAGCTGCCACCCCAGTGCTGGAGTTCAGAGCAAGTGAATCCATCAGCAACAAGTTTGTGCATGGGCCCTTTAAAAGGAATACCTGGAACTCTAGTAGCTCCCTGACTCACTCAGCCACATCTCTGCTGGTTTTCAGAGCCAGAATTTATGGAGACTTCTATCTCGGTTGTGGAATCCTGGGCTGGGGACCCTGGTGGGGGACTGGGACTCCTTGCTTCCCAGGGAGGACCTTTAAGCCAAAATATCTGTGCCAATTTTGAACTGCCACACATGGCTTCTTCTGTATATACTTACTTATAGGACTTTTGTTCAGCTACTCTTGAGGTGGGACTCAGTGATGATTGTTCTGTAGTTTAGTTGTAATTTTGATGTGGTCATGGGAGGAGGTAAGTACTGTGTTTATATACTTCACCATCTGGACTGGAAGCCCAGGCACCACTTTTTTCTTTTTTTTAAATTCTACACTACACACACACACACACACACACATTTTAAATATGTTTTTATTGACTTTTTTTTTTTTCAGAGAGAGAGGAAGGGGGGGAGAGATAGACGCATAGATGTGAGAGAGAAATATCAATCAGGTGCCTTATGTATACTCCCTCCTGGGGATCAAGCCTGCAACCCAGGTATTTGCCCTGACTGGGAATCGAACCAGAACCTCTCAGTCCATGGGACGATGTTCAATCCACTGAGCTGGGCTTTTCTACACTATATTTTTATTATCTTTTAATGTAATTTTTTTGAGAAGTTTAATTTTAATTTTAATTTTTCAATTACACTTTCAATATTATTTTGTTTTTATAATTTAATTTATTTTTATTTTATTTTTTCCATCACCATATCCCCTTATACACTCTTTTTCTTCCACCCACCCCCTACCTCCACCCACCATCACAACACTATTGTCCATGTCCATGGGTTCTCTCTCTTTTAATATTATTTTGTATTAGTTTCTTGTATACAGCATAGTGATTAGACAATCATATACTTTATAGAATGATCCCCCTGATATGTCCAGTACCCATTAGCACCATACATAGTTATTACAATATTAATGACTATATTTCCCATGCTGTACTTTACATCCTTATGACTATTTTGTAACTATCAGTTTGTACTACTTAATCCCCTCAGTGTTTTAACCCTTCCCCTCAACCCCCTCCCATCTGGCAACCAACATTTTGTTCTCTATATCTAGGAATGTGTTTCTGTTTTGGTTTGTTGTTATTTTTTTCTTAAGATTCCATTTATAAGAGCAGTTAAATGGTATTTGTCTTTGTCTTTGACTTACTTCACTTAGCATAATAAATACCTTCTAGGTTCATCTATGTTGTCACAAATGGTAAGATGCCATTCTTTTTTATGGTCGTGTAATATTCCATTGTATATGTATCACAAATTCTTTATCTACTCATCTACTGATGGGCACTTGGGTTTTTTCCATACCCTGGCTATTATAAATAACACTGCAATAAACATAGGGGTGCATATGTTCTTTTGAATTAGTGTTTGTTTTTTGGGGATACATACCCAGAGGTGGAATTGTTTGGTAATAAGGTACTTCTGTTTTTAATGTTTTGATGACCCTCAATACTGTTTTACAGTGGTTGCACCAGTTTGCATTTTCACCAATAGTGCACTAAGGCTTTCTTTTTCACTACATTCTCACCAAAACTTGTTTGTTGATCTGTTGATGATAGCCATTCTGACAGGTGTGAGATGACATCTCACTGTGGTTTAAATTTGCATTTCTCTGATTATTAGTGATGTTGAGCATCTTTTCACATATATATACTGGCCATCTGTATGTTCTTTTTGGAGAAGTGTCTAGTCGGGTCCTCTGCCCATTTTTAAATTAGATTGTTTGCTTTAGTGTTGGCTTGCATGAGTTATTCATAAATTTTGGATATTAACCTCTTATTAGATGTATCATTAGCAAATATCTTCTTCCATTTACTAGGTTGTCTTTTCATTGTGTTGATGATTTCTTTTGCTGTGCAAAAGCTTTTTAGTTTGATGTAGTCTCATTTGTTTACAATTTGTTTTTGTTTCTTTTGCATGAGGAAATATGTCATAAAAATATTGCTAAGAAAAATATCAGAGTGTTTACTGCCTATTTTCATCTAGAAGTTTTATGGTTTCAAATTTTACATTTAAATCTTTAATTTATTTTGAGTTTATTCTTGTATATGATATAAGAAGGTGGTCTAGTTTCATTTTTGCCTGTATCTGTCCAATATTCCCAACACCATTTATTTAATAGACTGTCTTTACCCTATTGTATGTACTTGCCTTTGTCATATATTAATTGACCATATAGGTATGTGTTTATATCTGGGCTATCTATTCTGTTTCATTGATCTATGTGTCTGATTTTATGTCAGTATCATGATGTTTTGATTATTATAGCCTTATAGTATAGTCTGATATCAGGTAGTGTGATTCCTCCAAATTTGTACTTTTTTCTTGAGATTGCTATGGCTATTCAGAGTATTTTGTGGTTCCATGTAAA